AGTGAAGCTCTCGTCATATGCGAGTTGGGCCGTTTATGATAAAACTAGACTCTTTTCGGGTCAAAAATAGATTTCTCAAAATCATCTGATAAAAACTGATTAACCTGCCCGTTTAACCTTTTGATGGTCCAAGCGGATTTCAAAATCTTCAGCTATTTGTCCTACATCAGTTATTTTTTTACCCTGTACACCCATTTGTCATGAAGAACTTCTTCCCCATAGGCGACTTGGCTAGTTCCCATGTTTTGTTGGAGATGGGACTTCATCTCATATTCCATTGCAAGCTCCTACTTGCTAATATCTTTAACTTGACATGTTTCATCATAGCATTCAAGCTCACCATCATCTGTGAGCAATATATAATCCATATACTTCCGATTCGGTACATGAGGATGTGTGGACCTTTTGGGTGTAAGCTTATGAGTTGGACTCCGCAGTGAACTATACTCTGTGAGTTCTAGCCAAGAACCCTCATCTGTCTGCTCCGCGACAATACTCTCTGGATCATCATTTAACTTAACAAACTCAAACTTACTCTATATAGGACTAGTTGACTGTGCTGCATCTCTATCCTTATAAATCACTTTCTCGTTGAAAGCCATATCTTTACTTCTGATAATTTTTTAGTTCTGATTATCCCAAAGTCGATAACCAAACTCATCTCAGCCATACCCAATGAAGATACATTTTAGTGACTTGAGGTCAAGCTTTCCTTTAGTATGGTCGCTAATATGCGCATATGTAATACAACCAAAAACTTTCAACCATGAAAGATTTACCTATTTGCCACTCCATATGTGATGACCCTATGGGCGGGTGCGAGAGACAATGTCAAGCTACCACACTGGCGAGCTACAGGTGCCCAAGTCCCACATCGCCTGGGGAAGGAAAATGTGAAGTGCTTATATGTGAGTGTGTCATCTCCAATTGATATGAGGCCTTTTGGGGTGAAGCCTAAGAGCAAAACCGTGCGGGCTCAGGCCCAAAGCGGACAATATCATACCATGTGGTGGAGTGGATCGTTACAAATGGTATCAGAGCCTGACCCAGCAAGAAGTGTGCCGACGAGGACGTCGGGCCTCCAAGGGGGGTGGATTGTGATGACCCTGTGGGCGGGTGCAAGAGACATTGTCAGGCTACCACATTGGCGAGTTACGGGTGTATAAGTCCTACATCGCTTGGGGAAGGGAAAGTGAAGTGCTTATATGTTGTGTGCGCCTAAGAACAAAACCGTGGGGGCTTAGGCCTAAAGCGGACAAAATCATACCATGCAGTGGAGTGGGTCATTACATCATACCTCTTTCGGTATTTGAAACTCCAAAGGCACCGATGGTCTATAATTAATTAGGTTGGATGTTATATTGACTGCTTCTACCTAAAACTATTTGGTTAGACCTGAATGTATGCGCATGCTTCTGGCTCTCTCTGTCAATGTCCAGTTCATCCATCACTACAACAAATATTGGTATTAAGGACAAATTTTTTAGCAAGAAAATTAAATTTGTTGCAAAAGGATGCAATTTGTGACAAATTCAAATTTTGTTGTGCCTGATGTATATTTTTTTGCATTAAACATGTAAATTTGTCGCCTAATGTGTAATGTTTTGCAACAAATTATGAGTTGGTTGCCAAAGGCACTATTTTAGGAGACAAATTCTGGATTTTGTCGCCAATTGTTAAATTTTTTGAGACAAATATTTATTTTGTCTCAAATTGTGAATCTTTTGTCAACAAAAATATTATTTGTTGCAAAAGACTTGACATTTAGTAACAAATACTTTGTTGCCAAAAAATACATTTTTAGAGACAAAAGTTTTTGTTGCGAAAAGTTAATTTTTTGCAACAAATCTCTTTTTTGTCTCAAATTGTGAATCTTTTGTCAACAAAAATATTATTTGTTCCAAAAGACTTGACATTTAGTGACAAATACTTTGTTGCCAAAAAATATATTTTTAGAGACAAAAGTTTTTGTTGCAAAAAGTTAATTTTTTGCAACAAATCTCTTTTTTGTCTCAAATTGTGAATCTTTTGTCAACAAAAATATTATTTGTTGTAAAAGACTTAACATTTAGTGACAAATACTTTGTTGCCAAAAAATACATTTTTAGAGACAAAAGTTTTTGTTGGGAAAAGTTAATTTTTTGCAACAAATCTCTTTTTTGTCTCAAATTTTGAATTTTTTGTCAACAAAAATATTATTTGTTTCAAAAGACTTGACATTTAGTGACAAATAGTTTGTTGCCAAAAAATACATTTTTAGAGACAAAAATTTTTGTCGCCAATTGTGAACTCTTGGGTGACAAATCTTTATTTTGTCTCAAATTGTGAATCTTTTGGCATCAAATTTATTATTTGTGCTCAAAAAAACTAACTTTAGTGACAAATAATTTGTCGCAAATAATCGATTTCTTTCTAATTACTGTAATTGGTAAAAACTTATTACTTATGCTCGTAGGTGGAACTATTCATGGCCTAACCTGAGCTATAGCAAAGGTCCCAAAAAAAAAAAAAAAAGTTTCTTATCAGCCATTCAGTTCAACCTAATCCATAGTAAAACAAAAAGACCCAGCCTAGCAAACCAAAGTTACAAACAAAATTTATAAGGCCTCAAAATTGATAGGCCATGGATGATGGGCCACCTAAAAAACAAAATTTAGGGCATATCATTTAACCTTGCGAATTGCCTCCAATCTGATCCATTCTTGTTCCAAACCATTTACCACACACGCGCGTCCCGCTCGCCCGGTCCAGTCTTGATTGTGAAGTTCGGTTAATTTTTTATTAAACGGAATTGGGCTTGCTGTGTGGACTAAATTTAATTTTTGACTGGGCTTATTTAAATTGGTTTTTCATTGAAAGGGTACAGTGTGACTGGTCCAACCAGTGCATTAAAGGGTTGCAGCTAGTTATTTGAACCAATACGTACGTGCTTCAGTTTGAATTTGAATTAAACCAGTTTAATCTAAAGGGATGCACCTGGTTCTATTTGAATGAACCATCATGTCCCATGGTTGCACACACCCGAAAAGGCACGTACCTTGCTGCCTATAAATACCCCCATTGGGATCATTTGCAAAACAATACATCAAAATTCAGAATACTTCTCTTCGATCTTAATTTAGAAATTTCCTTTTCCTCCTCCTCTCTTCTTGCATACATGTATACACATAGAGCATAATGTGAGTATGAGTTCGGTCTATAGGAGAAAGTAGTACATTAAGTCGGTTCGCCCATTTCTCTGGTTCGCAGTGCTGTTACTAAAGAAAGAAAGGTCGTTGCATCTTGAGAGATAGACGCCACTGAGTCCGTAAGCACTATAACGGGGCGAATCTGTCTTAAGGATATAGAATCAAATGGCCAAATTGAAAACATAAACTATAGATTAATTATATACAATAATTAATAATTAAAAAATAATTAAAATTTTCATACTCTAATTAATTAAACTTATTTTAAAGGCTCAAAAAATCTATACGATTATTAAGAGTACAAAGTATTCCAATACATTAGATTGTCACATTATTAGATAGAGTTTTAGTACATTGTTTATTTATTTTTTATTCATAAAATATTTTTAATAATAAAAATTTACTTTTTTCTATTATATTCTCTTTCTAACTATTTTAGAACTATAAATTATTTATTTACCTTTTCCCCTAATTTTATTCTCTTCATGTCTGTTTCCCAAATAATAATTTACTTTTTTTTTTAATTTTATTATATTTCTAACTCTTTCCTAAATAATAATTCATATATTCTCTAAATTTATTTCTTCTTTCTATTAATTTTTAATAATATATATTTTATTTATAATACATTATTAATAATATAAATTTATGTTTTCTATTTTATTCTCTTTCTAATTCTTCCCTAAATATAAATTTAACTTTTTGCCTTATTATACTAGTTTTCTAACTTTTCCCTTAAATAATAATTTAGCTTTCTTTTTAATTATATATATATATATATATATATATTTTTGAAAAGTATTAATTATATTATCTTTCTAAGTCTTTTCTATATAATAATTTATATTTCTCTAATTATGTTCCATCTCTTTTGACAAGACCCCCCTCTCGAAAAAAAAAAAATCCCAAAATAAGTTATCTCGATCTGCCGAATTGATTATCACAAATGTCTCGATAGTCGGATTAGTGCATCCGGTGAATTTTGAAGTGTTAGGCTTTGACTCTTTATATCTACTAATTTAACTTCTAACCTTTTTGTTTTGTAAAAATAATAATGATTATCTCTTTTGATAGGATCCCAAAAAAAAAAAAAGAAGTTATAAAGAAAATAAATAGGGTATAAAAAGTTAAAGTTTATGCTATAAAGGATAAGTTATGATATTTTAAAATAAAAGATGGTCCATTAAAGAGTTTAGGGATTTTTTTTTGTCATTTTATTTAAATGAAATAGTGGTCGGAATGCAAGTGTAGAAAAGTAAGATGCGATTTCGCCACCCATTATGAAATTATTTTATGAAATAAATTATATACTAATTAATCACGTTGAATTAGTATCGAGATCATTCGAGATGATTTTTAGTGAACTTAATTACGTACTTATCAAGCAGTTGGATACAATGATTAATATTTGTTTTTAAAACATTAGAATTACAGGAGTATTAATATGTAAGTGAAGTTATACTCTAATTCATTTATTGGTCACATGATCAAAATTTTCTTAATCACAACAGTTTACGACATAAAAAAATCAATTGAATTATCCATTACCATGGAATTAATGGGAGATTATTTTAAAAGAACTAATTAAACTTTTTATTATTATAAAAATTAATAATTCTAAAAGACCAAGAGATTAAGTTTGGGTCGTATCTCATAAGTTTTGTCTGGGTTAAAATTGTTGCATGACAAATAATGGAGTAATTGTAACTGTTAAAAATTAAGATAATTTAAAATTATAATGAAGAAAAATAAATATAAAAAATTTGTTATGTTGTTTTATAAATAGACTGATATTTTTTCATTAAATTGAAGAATGAATATATTTATTTTGAAAGATAGATTTTTAATAATAATAAATAAAAAAAAAACACAAACTTCCTATTTTGTGCTAAAATTCTAAAAAAAATCCGAACTCCCGCCCAACTTTGGGCGCCAGCGCTTATTGGAAAAGGAGAACCAAACAGGTGCAATATCTTAAAAACCTTATACCAAACAGGTGCAATATATTTTTAGGTTAAATCATTTCAGCCGCCCCCCAATCGCCTCCATGTCTATTCTCGTTCTCACTGAACTTCGGGCCCCCTCTCTCTGCAACTGCAAACTACAAAATCTACAAGAATCAGAAGTTCAAAATCCAAATATTTCAGTTTATCTATCTGTCTGCAAGAATCAAAAGTTGAAAACCTATTACCTATATCAAAACCCATATCGGCATATCATCTCAGATTGTTCAAAAAATCGAAACCTCCATCGCCCACTGTTCCAGTTCGGGTTCACCGTTCGCAAGCTTCAGCCGCTGGCCCGCTGTCTCTCAACTCTCTAGCTTGCCCCCATCTCTCTCTGCAACCGCTAACTTGTATGTATGGGTTTTGTTTTAATTTTTTTTTTTTCTAGATCAACTAATCAAGGTCTGTAATTGTTGTTTTGCAAACTAAAATCAAGTGTAATCTTGAGGCATTCAGTGGTTCGATTGAAGCCCTAACATACCCCAGTTTGATTGGTGGCCCTCACCTGGTTCGATTCCCCTATTTTACTTTTTGTTTCCATATACACTGTTTTTTTCCTTCTTTATGTTTGTGTATTTGTTAGAAGATTTAACTGGTTTTTTTTTTTTTTTTTTTAAAGAGGGCTCTCAGGAAACCTAGCGGCCAACTTCACCTCTCAACTCTGTCCTCTCGCCGGCAACAATCATGGTAGCATCTCTCTCTATCTCCACACACCCACACACACATATCTATCTCTGTTTTGTTGAACAATCTGCCCCCTCGTTTCTTTTGGGAAGGATTAGACTAAATTTGGGCATTTTCTCTTAGAATAAATTTGGGTGTTGTCTCTCTTTTTTTTTTTTATTTTTTTTTATTCATTCTTAGATCTGATATACTAGTCTTTGGCATGGGCAGGTGTATTCTTAAGGTGCCCTATTGTGGAGCTTGTGCATTAACTTTACATATACCCAATTGAAACAATTTAAGAGTTAAAAGAGACCTTAATGTAACTGTAATACTCAACATTTTATGTTTGAAGAGGATAAATTATAATCATGAGAGTGAAGTTGGAGATCAAATAGGAACAAGAGGAAGAAACAGGGTGATGGTAGGATGAAATTATAAGTTAACTCTCTCTCTCTTTGTCGCTCTCACTGTGTGTGTCACAAGACAGTTGCACTTATTTTCAGTTGGTGAATTGAAACTCCCATTTTGATTTAAAAAAAAAAAAAAATTGTGGGGTAGCTACACTCACTGACCATAAGGTGTCTTTGCCACTATCTGTATTTAAACTTTGTTTACTATTTTGCTCCATAATGTTCATCCTTTAGCTTGTGATCATAGGGAATAAACTAGGATGAATGTAAATTAACTTCATGATGCTCATCCTTTACTATACAATACATACATATATATGATTTTGATTATATTTTCTTTGAATTCCAATTATGATCCTTTTTTTTTATGTTTCATGTTCTGATATTGTTTAGATTTTTGTGATAACCTTCATCCGCAATCACTTTGATAATAGGACTTGTTTGAGCTTACAAGGGTCATAAATGACTTCTTCATCACCATAGACAAAGCTGCTGCTAGGTTCGGATTTTGTTAGTAAAAATCAGAATATGCTTAGTTTTTCAAAGCACTTAAGAGAATATCAGTTAAGCTATATGGTGCTAATTTTTTCAACCTAACTATATTGTTACTTCACTACGTTCAATATTTAAAAAAAAAAAAATGGATCTGTTGTGGTAGATTGATGAATAGATTGGTTGATCGTTTTCTTTGTCTTTGACTTGGTGATATATGCTGTTGATTCAGGTTGGAAACACAATCAATAAGTTGACTTTATTTTCAAGTTTCAACATAGTACAGTTGTAGCAGTACACTTCACTAATAAACTTGAATATGAATATAAGTAAGGTAGAAAGAGCACCTCAATTAGAAAATAAGTGCAATTAAACTCAAGGAAAATAGAAAATATGGCAATGACTCAATGAGGCTCATCTGATCATCTAAGTGAGAATGATTCCATTTGAATGCTCCATAAAAAATAATTCTAAGCATCGAGTTTAACTAGCGATGCGTCCTGCTATGCTTGTATCAAGGAGACTAATATATGGAAATATTGAGATTTTTATAATTGAGAAAAGTATAGAAATATTTTGTCCCACTATTTAATTTTTTTTATTGAAAGGAAATAAAATTTTTAGAAAGATTATATACTAGATGAAAGTGAAAAACATTTTGGAGCTTTAGCCAACCACCTACCTCTTAAGGTTTGAGCTGGCCCAGTTAAGTAACTTTCTTTTTCACTTAAAAAAAAAAATATTTTTTCCAACATTTTAGATAGGTGTTCGGGCTCTGGTGGACTTGGTTAGGCTCGGTAAATTTTCAAAAAGCTTGAACTTGACTCGAGCTTGGTTAATAAGGCTTTAGGCTTATAAATGAACCAAGCGGAGCTTTGGTTCCTTCATATTTTTTATGATCTTTTTTATATAATTTTTATTTTATTTTATGAATTTTAGTTATAAATATTTGTGAAGATAATAACTGAAATAGGATCTCCCTTTGCAGGATTTGAAAGACTAATTGGTAAATTTGGGTTGAACTTGAGTCTTGAACAAGCTTAAGATAAAGTAAATCAGGGTGCTAAGGAGAAGGTAAAGGATACGGAAGAAAATACGGAAAGGCCAAGGCAGATTGAATGCAAGGTTATTATTCTTACAATTATATATATGCATTTCTCTTTTAAAATTGTGAAGAATCATAAGATTTTCTTTTATGATTGGTTCTTGCTAACTTTGATGATTGTGTTTTTTGTGGCTAGCTGAGAATTAGTTTTTGCTGTTTCAGCAGAACACTTAATGGGAGGATTAAGAGGTTTGATTTTGAGAATCTAGAAATGTGCCTTGTAACCGGAGTTGCTTTATTTTTTTTTTTTTTGAGTATAACTGGAGGTATTTAATTCTTAATCAACTTTAACCATAAAGCACAAAGTAACTGGGTTTTCAGGTTACGCCTTTGTCATATACTTATGTACCCATACCTCATGAACTCTTATGATTATGCTGGGGCTGTTTTACATGCTTGCCTTTGATGGCTAATTAGTAAAGTTTTTAGCTGCATGCTGAAACTTAATAATGTTAAAGAATGGCTTTACCAATTATGGGCTCTGTAATCAAGTTTGCTGGGAGGAATGAATGGGTACACACCTATATTTTTATTTTTACTAAGTGGTTGCTCGAACTGAAATTCAGTAATGTATTACTCAATATAACAAGTACAGTAAGCATGTTTGGGTATCTAGGAGTTCCTTTAAACCCATGGCTCTTTTAGTAGTAGATTAATAGTTTTGTTTACTGCACAACTTTTTTCTATGACTATTTTTGCTTGTGGAAAATAGTTTCAACTCAGTTAATATATATTATTTGGTTTATAAAGTAATGGAATACATGGACGAAATGGAATTTGAAAATTGGTTTCATATAGCCAACTTTAATAGTTGAAAATAGAGTTGGTTTGTTGAGTTGAGATGTTATAAAATATTTAACTAGGAAAAAAAAATGTTATAAAATATTTAGTATTGATAAATTACTTGCTTTTTATTCCAATCCCAAGTATTATTCTAAATTTTATTAGGAGAAAACTTTGACAATCTTATGCTTTACTATTTGTTTGAGGACACATACCTACACCCAATACGTGCAGCTGAGTCCAGGTGACATAGCTTAAGTGTAGAGAAGAAGTTGGAAGCTTCAGCAAATATTGTGGGAGAGGGACATCTTGTTCCCTTATAATCAAATCCTAGTTAAATGCTCATATTGGAAGTATTAACTGCTAAGGCTAATTTCTAGCCAAGTAGCCAGGCATGAACCCAGAATACTGGAAATCTTCAATTGTTATTATTACCCCCATTGCCATCTTTTCTTTCAGCTTTCATTGGTCTTCTTTGTTGGTTTTATTAGGTATTATCTTTGAGAAGATTTTTGTCCTTTACTATTATTCCTTCTTCACTTTTTCTTGACAAGTGAAATTTCTAATAAGAATTTGGCTGACAATTATTTCAAATGCACTCTAGAACATACAAGGGGAGAAAAATTATACCAAAATGCAAGGATGCATACAAAAATACAGTAGGATAGAAGTGGGTTATGCGTACTCTCGACCTTGATTGAGCCTGGGAATAACTAGAGCAATCAGTTCACTTCATTTTCAGTGTCTTTTTGAATGCCTTGTTAATCTTTATGTCTATACAAAGGAGCTAGTATTTTTAGTTGAAAGGCAAACTCATACCTCTAAATTTTACTGACTAGCTCCAAGACTCAAATGACAACTGAAAGATGCGGGTATGTGGAGGCCTTAGGATATCACTAGGATGCATGAATTGTTTTCAGACAGAGGAATTTACAATCGTCATGCCCCTCATGCTTTCGCACTGAAAAGTTTTTTTTTTTTGGGTATTAATTTTGTGAGCAAACCCCTCTCCTTAACTGATGATTCGTGGGCAAAACATAATAAAGCTTGGATCATTTAATTTGGGATCATGAACTTAACTCAATAAAGCCTTAGCTCCCAATTACTGGGGTACCATTTAATTTGGAATTGTGTACTTTTGGAGGGAGGTGTGTGAGTATCAATTAGGAAAAAAAAAATAGAATTGTGTACTTAATTCAAGAAGCCTCGGCCAATTGATTGTGTTAAGCTGCATAAATCATTTTAAACCCAATCTAGAGTGATATCCTACATTTTTATGGAACCAAATATATGGGCAAATGTTGATAGAATGTTTCAATAAGGTTTTTCACGTTTTCTCAATTATTTTTCTTTTTTATGTTTGAATATGCAATGTAAAAGATCCATAGGCATTAGTTCATCCCTCAGACTAGTTCATCTATGTTACGGTAGTTTTTAGCAAAGGGCTAAGGAACCTTGGACTTGGGGCAAAATTTAGTATTTGTAATCATTCCAAACATGTTGGCTTTTGTATTAATGTGAATTGTTTAAGATATTTTTTTGTGCTTCTTTAATAATTATTTGTTATCTTGTGGTTTGTTATTTGGTTTGTATTTTTGCATTCTTAGTGTGTAAAAAAGGCCTTAAAAATATGAGAAGACCTTGTAGAAACTTAAATTTGTTGTAGTGGTTTGAATTAATCATAATTTTTCTATTTTTTTGACAGATTGCATGTGGCTGGGATTATCTTTTTGACTTTTTGTTGCAGGCCCATTAACTATATTTTTTGTTTCATATTGGCTCAGGATAAATTAACTTTTGTACTTTTGGTTCTTACATGGGATTGGATTTATGGATCTCCCATCTCCCCATTGTTGGCAGATGACATGTAGATGGTATTAGTTTTTGTTATAGTCCCATTGATTATGTTTTTTTTGTTTCATATGGGCTTAGGAAAAATTCACTTTTGGATCTCCTAATATTGTTGGATATAGGTTTAATCATTCTCTATGTATATGAATCTTGTCTTGATGTCATATTTGGATTATGTATGGATGATTGGATATATGAAATAGTATTTTATTTTTTCATTTGTAAAATATTAGATTATATATTTTGTAATTGATAATTTGTTTAATTGATATGTTTGGTATTAGTGAGAAAAAAAGACGTCTTATAAATTAGTTTATTGAGTGGAAGAAAAACATTATTGAGAACAAAAAAAATAAAAACCAAAATATGATTTTTAATGCATTTATTCACAAATTTAAAAAAATTGAGAATTAAAAATATTTGTTATTAAATATCAACACTTGTGAAAAAGGTAGTTTTGTTGCAAATTCCACTACATGAGGTGATAAATATATTTTTGTTGCAATTGTTTTATCTTTTAATGGCGAATTCAATTTTGTTGCAAATAGATATATTTTTAGAAACAATCTAGTTTTGTTGCAAATAAATATATTTTTTAGAAACAATCTAGTTTTGTTGCAAATAGATTCATTTTTAGAAACAATCTAGTTTTGTTGCAAATTATTGTATATTTAGCAATAAAATTTCTTGGATTGGAATTGTATTAAGTAACAAATTTGTGAAGAAATAAAGACAAATTGTTTGTTGTCAATTGTCATCTCTTTAAGGATAAGTAAATTTCTTGTTGCAAAAAGATTAACCTTTTAGCAACAAAAGTCCTTTAGTAACAAAAGTCCTTGGAATGGAGTTGTATTAAGCAACAAATTTTTGGAGAAATGGAGACAAATTATTTGTTGCTAATCATTGTATCTTTCCTGACAAGTAAATTTCTTGTTGCAAAAAATTGAACTTTTTGCGACAAAAGTTTTTGTTGCGTAAAATCTTTTGTGACGGCCTTATAGGGACAATCTCGCCACAAAATTTTTTTGCAACAAATTGTATGTATTTAGCAACAAAAAGTTTTGCCTCTAATATCAATATTTGTTGCAGTGCATTCTGCCACCCCATTCTGTTGCGGGGTTCCTTGTATGGTCCTCTCTAATCTGATCCTATTATCAAAATAGAACTTCTTAAACCCGGTGTCATTATACTCACCACCATTGTCTGATTTCAACCTCTTGATATTCAAACTTGTCTCATTCTCCACTATGACCTTCCACTTCTTGAACACATCAAATACTTTAGATTTATGCTTCAAAAAATAAACACATACCTTCCTCGTGTGGTCATCAATGAAAGTCACAAAGTAGGATTTTTCGCCAATAGATGAGATTGTGGCTGGCCCCAGACATTTGTGTGAACAAGTTCAAGTTTCTCCTTTCTGAGATCTCTGTCACTCTTCTTGAAATTGACTCTTTTTTGCTTGCCCATTACAAAACTCTCACAGAAGTTAATATCAATTACTCGTATACCTGGTAGTTTCCCCTTTGAGTGCATAATCTTGAGCCCCCTTTCACTTAATGACATAGTCTCTATTGCAAAAGGTTGTGAACTTTTTTTTTTTTTTTTTTTTTTTTTTTTTTTTTTTTTCTGTAATTGCTATAGACCCACAAACAGTGGTAGTTGTGTAGAGAGTTCCTGCGTGTAATGGTCATAGCGTCTTTGGAAACTTTCCATGAGTCTTGAAGGTTGTAACAAAACGTTCCTTTGACAATTGTCCCACCGAATCAGATTCTTCCTCAAGTCAGGGATGTGTCTCACATCTTTCAACTTCCTAGTTAACTCATTTAACTTGATTTTCATTTCACCTTTGCCAACGGCATTGCAAGGCTAATCATCACCAAGATATACCTGTTGGAATTATATATATATATATTTAAATTATAAAATTATTTTATGGTCCTATGTACTACGTTTTCTAAATTATGATTGCAATGTAATTATTGATACTTGATGGATTGGGTTGTACTTTCCAATTTGGTAGTCTAATTGGGAGTATGGTTTTATACCGTTGGATTGTGGTTTTCTAACTTATTTGGTGTGATTTAATTCTAACCATTGATATCTAAGTTTCCATGATAGGAAGGGAGACTTAGATATGCTTGTTTGTAGAAAAGTCGTCCCCCCCTGTTGTTATATATAGGGGTTTTAAAACCCTTATTCAGTCCTATCGTATCGACAACTTTCAGAAGGGGGTAATATGCTTTATTTTTCAGATCTATCAAAGGGCGATAAAGAATTCTCAAAAAGGTATCTCAAGTTTAATTTTCTAATCAGGTATGAGATCAAACCCTCTCTTTAATTGATGATCAATTTTGATTTCTACTTGTTGTTTGTTAATTAAACCTAACAATACCTTGCCATGGTTATCCGGTTCATAGCTATTAAATAGCTCTTTGCTTGAGGTGCCGTAAAACGATACGTCGGAATCTAAAGCCCCCGACTCCTCCCTGCTCTCCAAAAAGCATATTAATGCATCATCTGATTCTTCTAATACAACGTTTGCTTCAGTTTTATTTCGGTTCCCTTCTTTAGAAGTCTGTAATCAACAAGGTAATGTCCATTCTTTCCACAATTCTAATACTCAACGTCACTAAGATTTGTGAAATTTTTAGAATTTTGAGACTGTGTCCTTCCATTCCTTGACTTGGATTTGCCTCTGTTTCTATTACCGTTGTCCTTCTTCTTGTTTGAACCCTTGCCCCTGCTTTCAACATTCAATGCCGAACTACTAGTGAAAACCCCTTTCTGTTTGCCTTCTGATTTCTTCAGTTAGAATCATGCTCACAGCTTCATTAAACTTTAACTTGATCTTCCGAGTTACTGATTGCTGTAACTGTGCTATTCCAACTCTCAGGTAACTGCCCTAGAATTAGCAGTGCTCGGACCTTGTCTTTGAAATTGATATCAACAGATCATAATTGCCCAACTAGCTCGTTAAATGCATTTAGATGTTCGTTGAACTTACCACCTTCAACCATCTTTATGTTGAATAACTTCTTGATCAAGTACACCTTGTTCGCTGTAGAAGGTTGTTCATACATATTAGAAAGGGCTGCCATAAGAGACTTCGTCATCTTCTCTTCTTCATGTTGAAGGCGACTGATTTTGACAACGTCAATCTAACGGTGCCAAGAGCCTTCCTATCAATTAATTCCCATTCTGCATCATTTGTACCCTTTGGCTTCTCTCCCAAATGGTGGTACAGATTTTTCTAAAACAAGAGGTCTTCTATTTGCATCTTCCGGAAACTGAAGTTTGTGTCATCGAATTTCTCGATCATAAATATGAATGTCTTATCTTTTGATGCCAATACTTCCACTCGAACAGACAGATCTGATCAAAAGATTTTTAGAATTTCGTCAAACACATTCCGTGCCTTAGGTGCTCAACCAAAGGCTCTGATACCAGTTGTTGGAGTTGCTCTGCACAATCAACTAGATTTCATACTAGTTGTTGTGGCAAAAACGCAAAATAAATAATATTGTTCAAGAATAATCACAAGCAATCATAAAGAAAAAAAAATCACACACAAGAATACAAGATATATATTGTTTACCTAAATCTTAGGGCTACGTCCATGGAGTACATTGAACAAATTCACAATGAAAAAGATAAAGAATTACAATGGAGAATTTTCTTTTAATCTCTCTTTGTTACTCTTTCTTGTATTGGAATAAATTAATCAATCACACAACACGTATGATGATTTACTCTTCTTTTCGCCACATTATTTTTACCACACCCTAAAATCTTATTAGAGTTGATATATATAGCCCCCAATAATTTATCCTACAAGAAATTGCTTTTTATAGAATCCAAAATCAATAAGGAAGTTAAAACAAATTAGGAAACTGAATTTTCCTTAAATTCAGGAGTCTTGAACCGGTACAAGAAGTGACTACCTGTTCAGGATGACCAAAGAAGATTCCTTCGTGAATTGGCTACCGGTTCAAGAGTTGGCTACCAGTTCCCAAAGGACAGAGGCTAATCTTCAAACGTTGAACTTGTTTCTTGATTGGCTATCACTCGTTGAACTGGTAGAAAACTTCTGAACCAATTCAAGCATGTTAGTAACCAAAACATATAGATAATTAGCTTCCCAAATCCTTCACGTAATCAACACGTGATCAGACTCCATAAAAAAACACAACACCACCTTCAAGAGCTCTTGGACTAGGACAATTCCATCACCAATCCTTTTATGCTTGATGGAAGTAGTTTGACATTTATCAATGATGGTGGGTAGAATAGGCTACAGTCAAGGCAGGCAAATTAGATATGACTTTATAGATGGTGTTATTACAACAAGTGATAGGTTTAAAGTCATTTCATGCAAATTGGGTTATGGACTTTTAGGAGTAAGGCAAGATATGTTGAGTTAATTTCTTTTAAGCAATTGGCCATTGCTAAAGAACTCTTGGACTGCCAAAGCTACATCATTGCTTATAATAGGCTAGGCTTTCTTTAAAAAAGGAAAAACATTATATCCATCAGGCCCTCGGGATTTAGAGTTGTTTAGGGAGGGAGAGAGAGAGAGAGAAAGTCATAATCTCATTAAGGGAAGGAATGGCAGCTAGGGACTCAAGGAAATGTCTTGGAACAGTTTTCTGAAACTTTGTCCTAAGCATTGCAGAGCCTGGATAATCATGATGATTACTTCCAAAGATGCTCCATCTGGAAGTGATTAATAGCTTCAACTATGATGATAGCTAAGGATTCTAGTTTCTGTTAGGTAATATAGAACAATTACGATCGAAAATATTAAATATAAGAGTAATTGTGTAATGTAAAAAGTAATAATGATTGACTTGTAAAGTCAGTGTTATAGATTGTCATTTCCTTTCAAATGAGAGTGCAAATATAAAAAAATGAAATGAAAAAGTTTTATATCTTTTAATTATTTCAATTGTGAAAAAGTTAAGATTGTTCATCTCTTTTTCACAATTGTGAAAAAATTGTGAAAAAGTTTTAATTATATCTTTGCCTAGTGGTTATGTGCCTGAGAGAGTAATTTTTATGTTTCATAAAGCTAATGTGGTACAAGATATTTCTATCATAAAATCATCAATTTGGTAACTCGAAGTCACAGTTGGCGTTACAAACTTGAATTCAACTTGAGTTAAAAAAAAAAAAATTGAAGAATGGATTTGAGTTTGGATTGATTATTTTAGTTAGATTAGGATTAAAATTTTCGTATGTAGGGTAAACCCAGCCTCCAACCCATCCAACTCACCATAATTGCACCTTAGATGTGAGTGTGGGCCAGAACAAATAAATCCTTATTAAACTATACTATGTGAGTGTCACAATAAGGTTGCTATTAGTCATCAACCTTAAGTGTGGGCGAAGCAGTGACTGTTATTGCTATTAATCATCAACCCTAAGTCAAAATCAAAATTTGTACCGCGCAACACTCTTTTTTCAACCAATTCGTCAATCATCTTAGTTATTAAATTTCAAAATGAACTCTTAACACGAATAAAAAAAATTCAAATATGACTAGTATGTCAGTTGTACATTGTGAAAGTTGCCGCTGTATGCTAGTGTATTATCACACGGAATCTCTAGTCCAATTTTTTGTTTTTTTTTCTCTGATAATTTAAGTGTTCAGAATGTTGTCCCGATTAATGTATGGAACTCGTTTGAGGTACATCTCTCTATTTTAAAACAAAACTTGAAAGTTAAGTCTTATTAGAGCTAGGCATATTGAAAATAAAATTGTGTTTGCTTCTAACTTTAAAAAGATAAAAAAAACCGTTTGGATAAAATAGTTTCTGCAGTGAATCCATGTGAAACAATCAATCATGTAGTACTCCAAGTGCCTTTACAAATTATGTGCACACATTTGGGTATTGCATGTCTCATCTCTTTTGCCAAAAAGATTATGTGGTCTCTAGTTATATTCTTCATGATGTCTTTAGAATCTTCAATGGTGATCGATCCACTGCCTCATATCTAAAGATAACTCGTAACCAATTAAAAATGGTTTTAGGGAAGACAAGTCTCTATTTTTGTTTCATATGCACAGGAAGAGAAATATGTGGATGATACTGGTGAGTCATGAGTGTGTGCCTTAAATTTCTCACAAGTTCATTTTCATATTATAGTGATATATGTTGACTAATATACTAGTGAAAGAGAAACAGAGTTGCATTCTTCTAGTGGTCCTGACAAATAGTTAGGTCAATGTTTTTGGAGTATTATTGATGACTACCTCATCTCAATCATAATTTAGTTGGTAGAGTGCAGTCCATCTTTTTGAGAGAGTGTGTCCTGTTCGAATCCACTTCTCTTAGTTTGTCATATAAAATAAAAAATAAAAAAAATCCTGCAACGGGGAATATATTAGGATTCAAAACTGAAATACAGAGCAAAATAAAATATTAAAAATCATAAGAAGCAATTGAAAACGAAAATAAAGAAAGAATTACTTCCATTGCTGCTTCAATATTGGCTAAAAAACTGTATTTCCTTTTAAGTTTGATTTGAAATGTTGAAATTAACATGTATTGATAAGTACTTATGCCACTAGGTGCATATGACACGACTTTGCAAATGTGACTAAGAAATCAATACAAGAAACTAAAACAAGCTAGAAATCAAAATGAAATGAAGAAAATAACTTCCAAAAAAAACTATTTAATAGAACAAACACCTTTCATAAACTAATTAAAGATATATATGCTCCTAGCCTCCTACTAACAAACTTCTTCTCCAACCTCATCCACAAAAGCCTGAAGATTAGTAGCTGAAGATCCACCTTCCTTCACAGCCTCCCTTGCCAATTCCTTCCATTTCTTAGCATTCCCTCTCAGTTCATCCCCTCTCTCTCCACCTTCCATCACCATATCCAAACACCTCTTGATCACATCACCCTCAACTACCCCTTCCTCATTTGCCCTAACCCTCACCCCCGTCCTCCACACGTCCTCTAGTAGCTTTGCATTTGTCCCTTGATCCGTCCAATGTGGAAATGCCACCACCGGAACCCCACAAACCAAGCTTTCCAATGTAGAGTTCCACCCACAATGTGTCACAAAACATCCGAATGATGTGTGTGATAGAACCTCCACTTGAGCACACCATGGCACTATCATCCCTTGTTGCTCCAATTCATCCATGCAACTTAGCCTATCTTCTTCTTTCTCCTCTTCCCCATTTTCTTTCGCTCTTATCACCCACAGAAATGGCCTGCCACTCTCCAACAAAGCTTTTGCCATCTCCTCTTTTTGTTGCTTCGAAAACTCCAAGAGACTTCCAAATGATATGTAAACGACGGATGATTTTGGTTTGGAGTTCAACCATTCGATGTAGTCCTTTGTTTTCTGAAACAAGTCTCCTCCAAATGAAGTATCCGATGGATCCTTTCCACCCAAGAAAGCTGACGGAATCAATGGTCCGACCGCGATCAACTTGAGCTTGTCAATGGCTCTTAGAGCTTCGGGTTCTAATGCATCGAATGTGTTCACGAGTACTTTAGGGTTGATCTCTTCATCAAGTGTATCAAGCTGTTCTTTGAAGGATGGGAGTGCAAAACTGTAGGTGGCTGAGCTTGAAGGTAGGAGAAAGGAGGGAAGGTCATCACTTGTGAGTGATGGCAGTCCCGGTAATTTAATAGACCATGAGGGGTCATTACAGTTGTCCTTTATGGCATCCGCATACCCATTAAAGTAATAGTAGTAGATGTCCAAAACAGTGGCAGGCTGAATCCAAAGAAGGGCTGATGGGATGTGCATGTCACGCGCCACCCTGGCGGCCCAAGGGAGGAGGAGGGAGTAGACTAAGGAAGTAATCGGGCGGCCTTCGTCAATGCTAGCCGCGATGATCTCCTTTAGGGTTTGCGAGCCGCGGCTCCTCATCTCCGACACGAGGTGTCTGTGATCATCACCAACTTTGAAGCCGTCGTCAAAGCCATCCGAGAAGGCGGCGAAGCTTAGACCTTGAGGGATGGGGTCGCCGGCCTTGGTTATGCGACGGTGGGCGAACACGCTCGTGGCAAAGGTGACCTCCACCCCTATGCGGATGAGACGCTTCGCAAATTGGAGGGACGGATTTATATGACCTTGTGCCGGAAAAGTCACTAGGAGGATACGACGGTGCACCATGTTATCTACGTTGAATAGGTTTGATATAATGAAATGTGAAGTGAGATTGAAGAGTTCTCTTACTTACTAATGGCTTGAATATTTGTGTGTTTGTAGCAGAAAGCTAGATATGAGATATGTGGATTGACATGCAAAGAATTTAGGGTCTTATATAGGACTAGATCTTGAAAGGCATGACGTTGGTGGTGACCAAATTTATGTTGTTGTCTTTGATGCTGTGCGCAGAAGCTTGTGATTGTGTGCTATAGAATGAAGTGATTAGATATGTGTTTTTTGGAACTATGTATGACGTATGCAGTGACGAATTAACTTTATATAATTAAATTTGTTATATTCCCTGTAATATGAAATATGTATTTATTACCTACACTATTACTCAATATATATATATATATTAATTAATTAAACTTTTTGTGTGCTCTAATTATATGGCATTGCTATACTATATATATATATATATATTAATTAATTAAGCTTTTTGTGTGCTCTATATATATGTTTGAAAATATACTACTAACCGAAGAATTTTACAAATAAATTACACATTTATTAGTGAAAAAAATTAGTTTATTTACATATATCATTAATGTAATAAATAATAATAAATATATTTACATATAAATTTAAATAAATATAAAATATATATGTCATTAACAAATTTATGTTGTTGTCTTTGATGCTGTGCCCAAAAGCCTGTGATTGTGTACTGTAGAATGAAGTGATGAGATATGTTTTTTTTTTTTTTTTTTTTTTTTCTTTAACTATGCTCGACGTATGCATTGTCGAATTCACTTTATACAATTAAATTTGTTAGAGTCCTAGTAATATGAAATATCTATGTTATCATATATATGCATATATTACCTGCACTATTATTCAATATATACATTAATTAATTAAACTGTATGTGTGCCCTAGCTATATGGCATTGTTATACTATCTCATATATATATATATATATATATATATATATATATATATATATGTTTGAAAATATACTACTAAAAAACTTCTCAATTAAAAAATATTACAAATAAATCGGGCATCTATTAATGAAAAAAGTTAGTTTATTTATTACATATATCATTAATGCAATAACTAATAATGAATATATTTGCATATGAATTTAAATAAATAAATATAAAATATATATGTCATGAACAAATTTATGTTGTTGTTTGTGCGCAAAAGCTTGTGATTGTGTACTATAGAATGAAGTGATGAGATGTATATATATATATATATATATATATATATATATATATATTTTAAAGTATGTATGATATATGTAGTAACGAATTCACTTTATATAACTAAATTTGTTAGAGTCCCAGTCTATATATGCATTTATTATTTACACTATTATTCAATATATACATTAATTAATTAAACTCGATCTATATGTGCATTAATTGTATGACATTGCTATCTTATCATATATATATATATATATATATATATATATATATATATATATGATAGAATAGCAATCTCATACGCATATAATTAATATATATATGTTGTGCACTATAGAATGGAGTGATGAGATATGTGTTTTTGTTTTTTTGCGGAATTATGTATGACGTCTGTAATGACGAATTTAGAAGAGGTTGGGAAGTTTGTTCAATTTATAATAAATTCGACGGAACATGGACTGGTAGCTAGATAACATTTGTGTGACAAATCTGGCAGTTATATGCTATTATTATATCTAACTTTATCGGAAGCAAAGACTACATTGACTTGTTCTTGCATGCATGATTGCTTTTGTACATCTGGCAATTTTTCGTTATATCTTATCCACCAGAGTACTCTGCCCCACACGCACATGCATACATCGTACATACACAGACTTAGCTCATGTCATCTTCCGATTACTAAATTAAGCGAGCTTGGCAGGACCAAGTAAGAATTTTGAATTGTTTGTTAACAATGAGAAAGAAAAAAAAAAAACATAAAACTTTCAACGACGGAGAAATTCATTTTTTGTAAGCCTCTCCGCGGACCATTGGGCGGAATCTTATTTCTGAAATAGTTACGGAATTATGATATGGTTGGGCTACGTCAGACTCTTTAAAAGGTAAAATCAAGATAATAAAAGAAAAAAAAAAAAAAAAAAAGCTGCTTAATGATCAAGGATATAAAAAGGCAATGGTGTGAATTTAACACGGATCTACATATATATACATACAAAATTTATATATATATTATTATAAAAGTGTAGAGAATTTCTTAACAATTTTGATTTATTTTTTTAGTGTATATACATTTAAACCACTTCACTTTAATGAGATAAAAAATATTCACAACACATAATGATTCATACATAATTTATTATTATAATTTATCTATATCTATATCTATATATTATTCTAAAAGTGTAAGAAATTTCTTAATATTTTTAGACTTTAAAAATATATAAAATAATTTTTATTAAATATTTTAGATTAAATCTTTTAATCATTCAACAGTTATGTCATTTGAGTTGCCCCATCCAGCATTAATACTACTTATATAAAAGTGTATGCATTTTTTTCTACAATTATTTGGATACATTTTCATTAATTATAAAATATTTTATATTTCATTAATTATTATATATTTTATATGAATTAAAACAAAAAGTAATACCTTTAAAAACTAAATTACCTTTATTAATTTTTTTCATAAATCACAAGTCTATTTTATATTTATTAAAATCAAGAATTAATACATTTTAAAGTTAAACTACCTTTATTAAATTTCTTCTTTATATATATATATATATATATATATATATATATTATCTTAATTTTATTCTAAAAGTGTAAGCCATTTTGTGAATTTCTTAACATTTTTAGAATTTAAAAAATACAAAATAATTTTTATTACATACTTTACATTAAATCTTTTAATCATTCAACAGTTATGTCATTTGAGTTGCCCTATCTAGCATTAATACTACTTATATAGAAGTGTAAACATTTTTTTCTACAATTATTTAGATACATTTTCATTAATTAAGAAATATTTTATATTTCATTAATTTTAAAATATTTTATATGAATTAAAACAAAAAAGTAATACCTTTAAAAACAAAATTACCTTTATTAATCTTTTTCACAAGTCTATTTTATATTTATTAAAATCAAGAATTCATACATTTTAAAGTTAAATTACCTTTATTAAATTTCTATTTACTATATATCTTATCTTAATTTTATTCTAATAGTGTAAGCCATTTTGTGAATTCTTTAACATTTTTACATTTTTTTTATATCAAAAAAATCTTTCATTTATTTCAAGAGTTGCTTGACTTTCTATCTCTCTATTTAATTTTTATAAATTGCCTTAAACTTAAACACGAATATCATTCTCTCTCTCTATATATAATATGATGTTTCTGATTTTTCAGCATTTTCATTTTTTCCAATAATTCGTGGAGATAAGGGTATTTCTGTCTTTTCGTATGTTATGTTCGGGATTGTGGTTCGGTCTAGTTGCATTTTTGTGCATCTTAATTATGTGAATTATGTAGCATTTTGATGTGTAAGAATTGAAGTAAAAGAAAAAGGGAAAAAAAAAAAAGAAAATCTGGTGGGGCCCACCACTCACACTTAAAATGGTCTTGAGACCACACTTCTTGCTCCACACATTCTCTCTCTCCCGTAGCTTCTCCCCCTCTCTCATTTTCCTTTTCTTTTTCTTTCCACTTGAAAGGCAATCTTTGAGCTTTGATTATTCTCTCAATTATTGGCGGATTAAGGTGCCATTTGAGGCAAAACGAAGCCCACTACGAGCTCTACGCACTCATACCAACAATTTCAGTTTTGAGCCTTCCTTTGGAGTTCAAAATTGAGACCCATCTTTAGGGTTTTGGTGCAAACTTGAGGTAGGGACCCTTAATTCATGATGTTCTTGCTCTTTTGTGAATTTTATCTCCTTTGTGTGATAAACATGCTTAATTTGAGAGTTAATTGTTTCAATGTTGTGTAATAGATGTCTAGAGAAATTCATGGTTTTGATTATGATTTGTTCTATGTGAAAAGCATGTTGTGGTGATAGTTTTGTTGTGTTTAATGTGTCGATGACTCAATTGATGATGTTGAATGTGATATATGCTTAGTTGTGAAGTAATTATGAAATGTAAAACTTTTACATGCCATAATATTGTAAGCTTGAGACACATATACATGTATATGCCATTGGGTTGCATGAAATGGGAGAAATCAGTTTTTGAAATGAAAACGGTAATTTTGGGAGAAGAGTTTTTGTGAAATGGTTTTGATAAACCCGGTCGTTGCGGGGTTACCAACGGGCTGGAGGTTAATATAGCCTAGAGGGGACTAGGGAGTCGCCCTAGCGTGGTTGAGCTAGCTGGGCCCCATAATGACGCTGCGGGGTTACCAAGGGTCAGGGACACTAGCTAATCCTCCTCTCGTGTCGCGGCGGGGTTACCAAAGGGCGGGCTGTATTAACAGTTGGAAAGTATGGTTTTGAGAAATGAAAATGGGGAGTGACATATCATGCATTGCATTGCATTGTTTACACTTGGAATTGACATTGAAGTTGTTTTAACCTTACATTGCATGATCCCCATTTCCCATTGGCCTATTTTTTGATTGGATTTACAAGGACACAAGATGTGTGTCTTAAGTATCACCTACTGAGCATATAGCTCACCCTACTATATATTATTTTTTTTCAGGTCTTGGAAAAGAATCGGCGGATGCCAATCCACCCCAAAATTGAAAGTTGTTAGAAGATGATTTTTGCTATCTTGTATTTTGCTTTTTCATGTGTAATTATAATTTTGGGAATGTAATTAAGTTTGTGAATAATCCTTGAGAAAATGTAATTAAGTATTACTCACTTAAAAATCAGTTTAGTGTATTTTAGTAACGTGTTGTAAATTACGTTACCAACGTGGTGATTGTTATTGCAATTTATTGTTGAAATGTATTAATTTTGCACGTAAGTGTTGTGACGTGGGTGGTTGAATGATCAAAAGTTGGTGTACAAGGATTATACAGGATCGTGGAAAGTGGGAGTGAAGATTTTCAAGAACCGGTCGATGTATAACCCAAACCGGTCGACCGGTATCTTCACAATATATGTTTGAGTTGTTGACGTCCCAAACCAGTCGACGTATGGACCGGTATCCTGAACCAGTTGACCGGTATCCTAAACCAGTCGACCGGTATCATGGCAGTGGGTTTTCCCA